AAAAAAAAAAAAGAAAATGCAATCAAAACCATAATGAGATACCAGTTCATACCCACTAAGAATGACTAAAATCAGAAAGTCAGATAATAACAAGTGTGGAGAACCTGGAACCTTCATACACTAAGAGTGGGAAAGTAAAATGGTGCAGCCACTTTGGAAAAGACTGGCAGCTCCTCAAAAGGTTAAACAAAGAGTTACCATTTGATTCAGCAATTCCACTTCCAATGGAAATGAAAACATGGCCACACAAAAACTTGTACACAAATGTTCACAGCAGCATTATTCGTAACAACCAAAAAATGGAAACAACCCAAATGTCCATCGATTGATAAATGGATAAACAAAATACGGTATATTTCATACAAAGGAGTATTACTCGGCCATAAAAAGAACGAAGTGTTGATCCATGCTGCAACATGGATGAACCTTGAAAACATCCTATGTGAAAGAAGCCAGACAGAAAAATGATTCCATTTATGTGAAATGTCCAGATTAGGTAAACCCATAGAGACAGAAAGTAGATGAGTGGTTGCCTAGGGCTGGGAGGGGCGAGAAGGCAGGAGGGAAAATGGGGACGGATAGCTAATGGGTACAGGGTTTCTTTATGGAGCAGTGAAAACGTTCTAAAACTGACAACGGTGATGGTCACACAACTCTGTAAATATACTAAAAAACCACTGAATTGTCACTTTAAATGAGTGAGCTATATGTTATGTGAATTATATTCCAATACAGTTGACCTTTTATTATTTTTAAAGGCAGGATTTGGTTTTGGCCTGCTGATGTCTGGCAAGGAGGACTAAGTGAAAAGAGATTACAAAGAAGCAAAAGGACAAATCCAGATGGGGGATGAGCAACAGAATAACAGACCCAGTTTCTTCAGTGAATCAATTACACCAAGAAAGAAACAGAGTGGGGTGGATGGGGGGGCTATTCTAAGTTAAGAAATTTAAGAGACACTGAGAGACCACTGGATTATCGGAATCCTGTCCATCTCCCTCAGGACCCCAGGACCCTAGTCCTAGGGAAGTCGATGCCATCAACACTATCCCTCCACCACCTGGAACTCACCTCAGAGACGCTTCCTCCTTTTTCCGCTGATTCTTCAACTGTGCCCCTATTCCGGAAAAGAGCGCTGTTTTCCCTCTTAGCCCCGCCCACTTCCGCGCGGCGGGAAAACCCGGAAGAAGAGCTGCCCCTAGTTGCAGAAGTACTTCCTCTGGCTTGGTAAGTCCTCCCGTCTTCTCTTCCTCCCTCCGGAAACGTGAGTGACAGGTCGAAGGTTCCGGTTAGTGAAACTGACGTGATTATGGGGCACGCTTAGTATCTACTAGGCATTTCCCGGGGCAGGCGATTTCCTACTTGTACCCAGGCTTTGAGTCTCTCCAAGCCTGAGTTTAAGGACTAATCATTTTCCTCAGAGATTGGGAAGCTCACTTCCCCAAGTATATCATCCACTTTTCTTGCTGTAAGTTAAGAGACAATTGAGACGGGACAAGTTGTCTGTCCCCATTTTATAAACGGAGCAATTGAGAAATCGGAAGTCAAAGACGTTCAAATGACTCCAGGAAACAGGAATTTATTACGGCATATCCACCTACTCCCAGGGACCAAGGCATACAGTTCCCGCCAGTTTCTAGACGTGTAGATACCTAGATACCTGGAGTCCTAGGCATTTATTTCCCTAGCTCCGCCGGGCGATCTCCCGATGGGAAACACAGGAGGAAACACATATCCAATCCTCTAAGTGCTCCCACAGTGTCGGGAACCCTGGCTTCCCTAAGGGGCTCTGGACCTTCATCATAAGGTCCCTTTAAATACTTTGTCCCTTACCTGAGTCCCGCCCAGGACAGGTAGTCGCAAACCCCGCCCCTCTGCCAGAAACCGGGATCTGGCCGATTACAGGGAGCGGGAGCTGAGTGAGGCACCCCTCCTTCCTTTCCCCTCCCTCTCACCTGTCCCCTTTCACAGCTGGCCGCAGCTGGCCTTGGAGGCCCGATTAAGGAGGAGACTGTGCTTACACGTCTGGGCAGGTAAGTGAATGTCCCTGGAGGCAGAGCCTGGCTTGGGGACCTTGGCGTCCTAGCTCCCTGCTCCTCTGAGTCCCAGAAGTTTGGGGGTCCCCAAGCCCAGGAGTCCAGGGCCCCTGCCTCCTCCTCTCCCTGGACCCAAGAATATAGGCCCCTGCTCTTGCCTCTCCTGTAATCTTTGATCTCTGTGGGTGGATGTGGCAATGGGCATAGAGAGAGACCGGAATCTGTGGGAATCTGAAGGAAAGAATCCTGATCACCAATGTACATGTTTATGAACACCTACTATGTGCCACAACAGAGCTGGGGGCTGCAGACAGAGGGGAAAAAGATAGCTCCCTTTTCCAGTCTCTGGAGGCACACTGCCTTTGTTAAAATTCTGCCTTTGAATCTTGCAGACCATATGATCTTAGGCAAGTTCTTTGACTTTCTGTGCCTCAGTCTCCTCATCTATAAAATGGGGGTAATAATAGCACTGCTGTGAAAATTAAACTGAGTTGATATAGGTAAGTTCCTTAAACAGTGTCTGGTCCCGAATACAGGCTATGTCAGTGTTCGTTATTATTATTATAATTCATGGGCCACAGAGTCCGGTCAGGGAGAACTTGTCTTGTTCCTTAGGGGCTGAGGCACTTGTCACTTATACCACACCTGGTTCCAGGTGTCTGCAAAATATGAGGGGCCATCCCTCTCTGCTGCTGCTATACCTGGGGTTGACCACCTGCCTGGACACCTCACCCAGTGGGGAACAAGGCCAAGGTGAGTGTTCCGGGGAAGAGATGGTGTCCAGGCACTGGAATCCACCTTTCCCTGACCCTGGAACCCTTGCCTCTAGTCCCCTCCTACTTCAGGACCCCATAGCTCTCTGTCCCCTTAGGTTCAAGTTCCTCCATGTCCCTAGTCCTCCATTTTTCTGTCCCTCATGTCCTTTGGGCCCAGAAGTCTTCCTGGACTCCCCAGAGGCCCAGAGCTTCCTGGGCAGCCATAGGCGGATTCCAAGAGCCAATCACTGGGACCTGGAGCTGTTCACACCAGGGAACCTGGAACGGGAGTGTTATGAGGAGAAGTGTTCCTGGGAAGAGGCACGGGAGTACTTTGAGGACAATGCTCAGACGGTGAGGGTCTGAGAGTCCTGGAGTCTCAGTGTCTTCTCCCGGCCCTGGGTGTAGGGTGGGGGGTGGAAGGAGGTCCTGGCCCTCAACTCCCTTTACCCTTGGGTATCAGAAATCAGGGCGGGTTGGTTTGGGGCGGTAGAATCTTCCAGTTGACAACAGTCTTTCCTCCTTCTCTACTCCTACCCCTTCAAGAAGCGCTTCTGGGAGACGTACAAGTACAATGGCAAAGGAGGTGAGTGGAGGGGCCAAGCCCTCTTGTCCTGTGCAGTTAAGGCAGCTGCTTCCCATGGAAGCTGAATGAACACTCCCACTCCAAATTGGGTGCTCCCTGAGTTCCTGGAGATAGTTGTTAAAGGAGTCCCCTCCTTTGAGACTAGAGCCCCTGCCTGAGGAACCCATCACACCTTATTGGAAGAGGTCCCATGTTCCCAGGAAGGTGAAATGCAGGGGTAGAGGGAGGAGTTACTATCAGGCTTCAGGCTCAGAGAGGCTGATCCACCTGAGCCCCTCTTTGGTTGCTAAGGGAGCTGTTCCCTAGAAACGAGGCCTGGCCAACCCAGGCCGTGGGAAGCCTGTCCAAGCCTGGAGTCCTCACCTGACCAGTCCACCCACCCTCAATCCGTCTTCTGAGTTCTGAGGCCCCATCATGGCTGCAGCCTTGTTGCTAAGGGGGGGAGGGCTGCTCGTTAGCAACAAGGCCCTCCGATGCCGATGCAGGACCTAGGAAGCCGGCAGCACTACCTGGCTGTCTTCCCCTCCCCCACAGCACCATCCCAGCTTCAGCGTGGTTGCTAAGGAGGCCTTCTCCCTAGCAACCACACCTAGCCAACCTCAGGACCCAAGGCCCCCTGCCCACCGGAGGGCCCCCCCACCTGCTTCCAGGCACACCCCCCCCCACTTGTGGCCTGGTTGCTAGGGGTGGCTGTACCTTAGCAACAGGCCCTAGGTCTGGGCTGGAGCCCTCAATTGGAGCCCGGTTGCTAGGGGAGGTAACTGGTTTGCTAGAGGCATAAGGATGCCTGGTGGCTCCTTGAATCCACCTGAAACATGTCAGAATGGGGAGGGCCTGGCTTCTCAGTGCAGCCATTTGCTAAGAGGGCTAAAAGCCTGGGGTTTACTGTTTGAGGAAAACTCCCCACCCAGTTGTAAAGTTGGTATCCCCAGAGGCAAGACCTCGCAAGGCCTCACCAAGCCTAAGTCCTCGCTGTACACCCCCACCCTTTTCCTCAGACATAAAGCATTGGATTGCTAAAGGGACTGCACCTTAGGAAAGGGGCCATATGTGTTCTAGACACCCAGCAATCTGTTACTGAGGGGAGCTTCCTAAATCCCTCCATTGATAGATGAATTTTTTCTTGCCTTCTGGTAAATTCCAAAGCTCTCTTGTGGGTTTTGCTCTTTCTTCATAGTTGAGACCTTGTTCCTCAGTGGCCTGGTTGGGAAAAGGGGCTGCATTCCAGAGGGGTTAGGTTTGCCAGACAAAATACAATAACTACCCCCCACCCCTTTCCTGACTTAAATTTCGAATACACATAAATAATTTTTCAGTATATGTCCCATTGAGTGTATGGGACATACTTATACTAAAAAATTATTCATTGTGTATCTAAAATTCTGTGGGGTGTCCTATATTATTTGTTAAATCTGGTAATGCTTAGTGTGGGGGTCTGGATAGTTGGCTATTTGACCTCCCCACCCTATCTGTAGTGTGTCACCTGCAATCTTAGCAGATGGATTGCTCAGGAGGGTCTTGTACCACCCATGTCCAGGGAGGGGGCTCCATTATCATGGGGATACAGCTGCTGTATTTTCTAGTACCAGATGAAGTTATCATAGCCTCTTTATGCATTTTGTGTCAGTGAATTTTTGCAACCTGTCAGAGAGGGGTTATCATCCCATTTTACAGAACAGGAAATGGAGGCTCAGAGAAATGAGTGAGGTGAGTTTCCTGAGGTCACATAGCTAGAAAGTGGCCCTAGCTCTGCCTTGGTTCTTGGCCAGTTCTCCTTCCTTAGGGGAAAGGCATTTGGATGTTGAGGTGGGTGGCACCTCCTGAGGCAGTGGTTGGTTTCTCCCACCTTCCCCTTACTGCAGGGCATGGACGAGTGGACGTAGCAGGCTTGGCTGTGGGACTGACATCTGGCATCCTGCTCATTGTCCTGGCTGGCCTGGGAGCCTTTTGGTATCTACATTGGCGACGGAACCGAGGCCAGCAGCCCAGTCCCCAAGAGTAAGGGGGCTTCAGGGAGGAGGGATTGGCAGCTGGAGAGAGAAGGGTGAACAGGGGAGGGAGGAAAGGTCCATCTAAGGAGATAGGCCAAGGATTGGGGACAGGTGGGCACTGATGAAAGATCTGAGGAGACAGTCACATGGAGAGTGAGTCTGTGAGATCATGTAGCCAGTGGTGGCATCTGTCTGTCTGAGTATATCCCTAGTACCTGGCACATAATAGGAGCTCAATCAGCATTTGCTGCCTGTTTTTGCAGTACCAGGTTTCTATGTGACTATCACTGTGGACACTGTATCTTGTGAGGCTGCAGCCTGTGGTCTATGGGTATCTGTGGTATGTCAGTTTCCGTGGTGCGGGTTGTAGCACATGTTTGTGTGTGCCTGTAGTTGTTGTCTAGGTGTGTCTTTCTCAGTTGCAGGGTCTAAGAGGGTTCTTGAACATTCGTCTTGAGAGTATAGTGGGTCTGGGGTTTTATAGGAAGAGTTTATTTTAAGTGGATATCTCTGTGTTGTGTCTATTTCTGTGTCTGTCCACCTGCCTCTCTGCAGGGTTGTCTTTTTCTCCGTTACTCAGTCTGTATGTGGAACACATGTGTCTGTGAATGAGTATCTCAGCAGTTGTTGCTTTCTGAGTCTGCCTGTCCCTATACATCTGCCTGTCATTTTGAGGTGCTTTTCTGGGTGTCAGGTTGAAGGTGACCCTCTTTATCTCCCGTCCATCTTCCTTCCATCTCTGTTCTCCTACCACCCTCAGAGTCTCTCCCTTAATCTTCTCTCCTTACCCAAGTCTCTCTATCCTGTAGGTTTCCCCTGCTAACGGTGCACCTTCTGTCCGCAGGGCCGAGCTCATCAGCCCTCTAAGTTCCCTGAACTCTCCCTGCCCGCCGACGCCCCTGCCTCCACTCCCACCCCCAGGCCTCCCCACCTACGAGCAGGCTCTGGCGGCCTCTGGAGTGCACGACGCACCTCCGCCCCCCTACACCAGGTACCCGGCTGGGCTTCTGCCCGGGGGCGGGGCGCAGAAGGGAGGGCACTGCTGGAGGAGGGGCGTGGGCTCAGGGGCGGGACTTGGAATTTTGAGGTTATTATTCGAGGCGAGGCTTGGAGAGCGGGGGCGGGGCCTTGTGCAATTGTCTGGGGGCGTGGCCCAGCGTTGTGCGTGTAGAGCATTAGAGGAGGGTGGGTCTTGTGCCCAAAGGATCCGGGATTGGCTGAGACGCCCAGGGCGGGTCAGAATAGTCTTAGTTGAGGAGGGGGCGGAAAAGGGAAAAACAGCCGGGTCTTTGACTCCCCACTGTGCCCCTCCCCTTGCAGCCTCCGGAGGCCTCGCTGAAGAGCTGCTTCGGAGCCGGGGTTCCCTGAGCCGTGCCCCAGATTCACACCGGATTCCGGAAGCCCCCAGGCCTCAAACTGCGGAGCTGAGCTTGGGGGTGGGTGGGAATAGGGGTCGTCCGGCCCAAGGCCTAACCTGGCACACGTGTTTCCGCCGCGTACGGATACATGCGTGTCCCCGGCGAAAGTGTTCCCGCGCCCCGGCCCCTCGCGGGCCCCCAAGCTCTCCTGACCTTGGGGTACCCACTAACCCCGCCCCCGGGGTAGGCGTGTCGTGGAAACTCGGACCCAGGCGCGCAGGCCGGGTGTGCAGACTCGCGTGTGTGAGCGGGTCTGACACGGCTTTCTCCAGTGCCACGGACAACGCACACGCAGAGCCCCGCCCGTGCACACGCGTGTCTTCATGCTATCCCCGTGCGCGTACAGGGGCTCTTTGCAAACCAGGGACAGGGTGGGGGGGCATATTTGCAACCGCGCTCGGTGGGGGCAGGCTCTCATTGCACCCGGGGATCTGGAGTTGAGCTCTTCCCCTAAATAAAAATCCTTTGGAAAAGAAACCAAAAAAAGTGAAACAATGCAAAAAAATAAAAAAATCAAACTGAACTGCGATCCCAGGAGCGTCTGCGCGCGGTGAAGCTGGCTTTTAGTACAAATGTTGCGCCCTACACCCCCAGGCTCTGCTTGCGCTGCCTCTCTCTCTTTTTTTTTTTTTTCTTCGTTTGCACGGGATTGTGGGAGGAAGCGGAGCGCAGCCAGACACCCCGCCGCCCGCCCCCCCTT